TGATAATAAAATTGAAACTGAACAGAACTGTCCAGCTCTTCAGACATTCACAGATGCATAATTTTGCAGGATTCTGCTGCTATTACAGGAGATTTATATGCAAATTCTCCACGTAAAACCACTACAAGGGTCGACTGACATTTCTGTGCAAGTAAGATTTTGTTTAGGTCTCCCATGTTTCAAATGCCTTTCCTATCATGATGCCAGAGCCAATACAAGGACACTAGCCTTATATTGAGGGCAATACTGACATAAACACTCCCTCCCAAAGCCTGTGTTCTTATCAGATCAATATATTAAATTCTTGAGATAATTTTTTGCAGGACCCAGAGGAAACTCCTTGGAGTAGGTAAATCTATAGAACATTTTGCCATTACTTGTACGCAATGCAAAAGGGTCAGGACAGACTGTACATCCCCATGATGGTTCCTGAGATTCTGGAACTGAGGTTCAACTTTGCCAGATGCTAGGAAAACTGCAGATCTATGATTTTACAGTCACGTATAGAGCTAAGTACAAGCATGATAATGCTAATTTTTTTTAAGACACCTTTGTTCACAGTTTATAAAACCACTGTGACCATTCCCCACCTTTTAGATTCAAGGCATCCCTCAGAAAATGCCAGTTCTCAGCTTTCACTTGTTTTTTGACTATGGAAAAAATACAAAACAATTCTCCTGTTGCAAAGAACTCAGAAAGACCACAACAGGACAGAACATTTTTGACACTATGAATTCCTATTTGAAATCTCTGGGTTTATCTTGTGAATCAAGTATGTGCTTGCCAAACTAACAGTACTAATACTGTGTTGCACCCCATCTTCTGGAACCCTGGTTGAACATCGCTGATCAACTCTGAGCTTTGGCGTAACACAGGCCAAAGGGCTTCTAGGAATTAATTCCTTTGAGCCAAAATATGTATTCTGGAAAAAAATCCTGTCTTGATTTAAAAATTACCTGAAATGGAGGAAAGAATATAAACTTGGTAAACTTTTCTATTATTCTATTATTGATTAGTTACTTACCCTTGCTGTTAAAAAAAAGTGCACTTTGCTTCTGGCCTGAATCTACGTAGCTCCAACTTCCAGCATTGGACCTCACTATGCAACTGGCTGTTAAACTGAAGAGCCCACTGTCAAAGATCTATTCCCCATAATAGGCACGTGCACTATGGCACTTTGTAACCCAGTGTGAAGCGCTGTGAGAACTGAATACCATACTCTAACCTGATATTCCCTCTAATTAAAAGGAAAAAAGGAATCCATGGCATGCTTTTTCCTATTACTGTACCACTACTGCAGGCATTTATTCTATTGTTCTTTTTGCTGATTTGCTTTTAAGTGCACACTTAAAAACACAGATATAACAAAAAAGCAAGTACACAAAATGCTGGAGGCAATATCACAGCAAAGGGAACCATTCCTGGTGCAGGAGTTATGCCAGGAATACACACCCACATTCTTATTACAGGATTAGTAAACTCCCAAATTACCAATACTGGAGAGACAGACAACACCTATTTGGAAACATCCCTGCAGGGGCAGCCAGACAACAGGACATATCATTCATCACCAAATGCACACAGCTCTCCCACCCATGACCACTGATTTCCCAGGCAGAAGGCTTCCTGCAGCAATGGGTGTGTGCTGGGGATGGGGGGAGGAAGGAAAACAAGACTGTTTCTTCTCAACCTTCCTTTTCCCCTACCCCAAGGGAGCTATAGAAAAATGCAACCTGGATGTGTCATCACTTTGCCCCACCACCCGCAGATTTCGGGCCTAGAGGCAACACTTAAGACCATCTATGGCCCATAACTTGAAGCTGAGCTACAGTGTGCTTTTTAGACAGGTGCCCTGGTCTTAATTTCAAGACTGCCAGTGGTAGAGAAGCACCATACACTTAGACCAGTTACCAGCATGCCAAAAATGTGCACCTTATTTTTAATCTGGATCTGTCTGGCTTCACCCTTTGTCTGTTAGTTTGGAGATGCCCAATTATTTAAGACAGTCTCCCCATGCAGAAAGTTGCTGCATTTCAACTGGACCCCTTCTATGCTATGGAATCCCCCTGCAGGTGGGGGGCCAAGAAACAATAGCTGATATCCCTAGCCACAATGCATAATTACAGAAGTGAGAGAGGGATCCCAACAGTGACCCTCCCTGGTGACAGCTTTGGGCTCCTGCAGAGCCCCCAGGGAAAGCCAAAGAGGGGGAACTCCCATCTGGGGATAACCTGAACGAAAAGACATGTGGCATTTACACCCACTGTGTGCGTGGTCTAGCTCAAACTGAATACCGCTATAGTAATTTGACTGGCAAAAAAAGGGAATCCAGAGGAAAGCAGCAATGTAATAGTAGCACTGCAGTAACAACTGAACTCTTAGAGGAAAGGCAAGTGGGTCAGAAACAACCCCTGCATGCAAGGTTGGGTGGTAGCCTATATCCTGAGTCAACTGGGTAGGCTTTCCTTACTCAGAGTTCTGGAGTTACGCAAAGATTTCTTCTCTCAAATATTTTGGGAGTTGTTTTCGAATCTAATTGTACTCCAGATGATCAGTCTAGGGGCTTGAGCATTAGTGAAAAACAGTAACGTTCTGTTAGATGTGGACCGCTCAACCAAGGCAGTCCCCATGCCATCTTAGGGCTGTCATCAAATTATGAAACCTATTTTGGTAAAACACATTTTTTCACCTCTGCTACTGATCCCACTTTAGATCTGCTTGACAAAATTCTACTAGCCACCAGTTTCAGGTGAGCAACTATAATTAGCTGCCTCACTACCAGAGCTATTAGGGCATGTGCAGGGGGAGCAGTGTGGGCCCACTTTGTCCCACCACTGGTAAAATTTCTTCTGGCTATCATGTAAGATGGCTATAAAAGTGATTTGTTCCAGGGATATTTTCTCCTACTCTTATGGTAGGAACACTACACCCTCTCAGACAGTAACAGCTACAAAGGAAGGGTTACATAGTCAAACCACAACAACATGTCTTCAAATCTATTAAAATATAAAGAATTCTAGTGAACCTGAGAATGACACCTTCCCTTTCCATGCCACTTCCCAGACCTAGCCTACATGGACATGGGGTGAATGGAAGTTGGTCACACAACTACCATGTGAAGAGGCTAATTTTTGACACATGCACCTCTGCCACTTATGACAGCAGGTACAATACAAAGCCCTGGACACTAAATAGACCACACAAAACTTCTTCCCTACAAGAACCACTCTGTTCTGTACTTGTTCAGCTGACACCCCATAACAATCTGTTCCAGATGACAAGAATTTTGGGGCCACTGATCTATTGGGTTCGCACCCAAGTGAAATGTTTGGTTCGCACCATTTCCCCACCCTTTTCACTGTCCTATTTTAGCTGTGTTCACAGTGGGTCAACCCCTGAATCCCACCCAGAGAAAACCAGTCTTCACTCTTATTGTTCACAAGCTGGGGGCTCCGAAGCGTCAGCTGACCCAAAGGAACCACTTCCTTGAAGTGTAAGAAACTTACTTGCAGTTTATCAAATGCACCTTGGCTTACTCTGTGGCTATATTAATTCTGATCATCTCCTAAAGAGACCAAGATAATCATGCCAAATGAAAAAGAAGTTTTACAATGAGTCATCTCAGTTCCTGCAATCTGGGCCAATTTGAAAATAAATTAATGCAGAATCTTTAGAGAGATGACAAAGGGGAAAAGGCTGTTGTTTCCATGTAACAAGATGTTCAGTTCTGTTTTTATAAGATGGGTCTAAAAAAACAGATCTTAAGAATATCATTGGTTTTCCAACCAAAATTTTAAAAGACTCCTTGAAGTAATTCTCTCACAAAAATAAATTCCCAGCGTCATGGCTTGTCAATGACTCATCTGTTTCACAGAATATCAAAAAGCTGTAACAACAAAATCCATTGCAGATTCAATCCTGATCATAACAAACCTATATGGAATTACTTCTCCTGCAAAAAAGTTGCCTTCTTATCAACATTCAGTCACACAAAGAGATGTATGTTGGATTACACGTTCTTCTTGAGCAACGGCTGAGATTTTAGAAATGCCCGCCAAATGATCCCAAAAAAGGGAAGTTAAGAAAGGTGAAAGGCACAGCAAGATAAAGCTGAATTAGTTAGCCATTAAGGGAGCTTGTACATGTGGCAGTTGTCATGATGTACACGTGACAAAAATGTCATTTGTTGGACTTAATGGCATCACACATGCACTAGTTTTGGGGGTTTTAGATGAGTTTGCATCATTGCAAATTGCAATGATGCAACTCACCCCCTGGCTACAGGAGAGGTTGGCAGGTTCCGCAGGGGGAAAAAAAAAAAGGAAAAAAGATCAGGCTCCTTGCCGCTTCTGCCTTCAGCAGGCACAAGTGGTGAGGGGGATGATCCCCCTCCCCCCATAGAGCCTGCCCACCTCTCTTGTGGCTGGGGGCCCCAGTCTTTCTCTCCGTGGTGGCGGTGCCCCCTGGGCAGGCTGCTAGCAGGATGGGTGCTGCCCCATCTTGGAAGCAGCACCCAGCCTGATCCAACTGTTTGCCAAGCCTGCCCACTGAGCACTGCTACCCGGGTGGTTTGGGGGCCAGGTGCTGCCCAGGGAGTACCACCACTGTGGAGAGGAGGACTGGGGGCCCTGGCAGCTAGCCCCCAACAAAAAAAAAAATCAGGCCCACCACCATAACATGAAGGAAAAACTGAAATAGAAGGTTTCAGTTAGAACCCCACCATTTCAAATTAGGTGGCATAGAATAAAACCCTGAGGACTAAGCCGGGTCACATGTCCAAGCGCCCTAAAGGGTGGGAGCGGTTCCAGCCTTTAGCCTGCTAGCCCTGAAATCAGCCCGGAAGCGCGGTGCAAACATGGTTGGCCTTGCCTTCTCTTGCATGGTGCATTGGACCCGATTCTGTAACTACGGCAATATTTCAACATCTCCCCCCCAAAACAAAAAGCCAAAACACGCCTGTCCCTCCCTCCCAAATAGCCCTTCTCGAGCCCGCGGCTCACTGCAGCCGCGCGGCGCAGGGCTCAGCAGTCCTTTGTTCGGGCCCGCCCGGCTGCGAGGAGGCGGCGGCGGCTGCCGGGCCAAGGCCCCTTGAGGGCTGACGCGAGAGGAGCAGCGGCCCCCAAAGGTGCTCCCCGCAGGCGCCGCATCCCACGGCGCATCCTTCCCCGGCGCCGCCTCCTGGGGCCCCGCTCATCCCCCAGCACGTCCTGC